CAAGTGTAAGACAGGTGAGACTCCACAGTAAAGTGGACCCCAGCCTGGCTTTACCCTCCTTCACTGTCCCTTCTCAGTTTTTTCAGCTCTGTTCCTTGCTAACCACTAAAAGAACTTTTGGGCAAAGCTAGTCTCAATTTACATGCACAGAAACAAGTTTACATCAAAGTCTGCCAAACCTCTTTATGTCTCTGTACCTGAGTCCCGTGACCAGAGAGCACGGATCACCCTCAGGAGCTCTTGCCACCGCCACCATCCATCTTCTCATCTACTCGCCTCTTACCATTACCCTCTTCCTCCTCTCGCTCCCCTTCTTACTTCTCCCCTCCCTCTTAACTCTTTCCCTTACAACTCCCATTCCAGTGTGTGTGTGTTTTTCCAGGGAGTTTATAAAAACTCCCCAATACCTTCAAATATTTTGCTCTCTCTTAGCTCAACCAGTGACTCTCAACCCTGCTGCATATTAAAAGAACTTAAAAAGAAAAAGTGCCTTAGCCTTGCCCCTACAGAACCTGATTAGTTTAGGGCAGCGATTCTCAACCTGTGGGTCACGACCCCTTTGGGGTTTGAAAGACCCTTTCACAGGGGTCGCCTAAGACCATCGGAAAACACATATATAATTACGTATTGTTTTTGTGATTAATCACTATGCTTTAATTATGTTCAATTTGTAACAATGAAAATACATCCTGCCTATCAGATATTTACATTACGATTCATAACAGTAGCAAAATTACAGTTATGAAGTAGCAATGAAAATAATTTTATGGTTGGGGGTCATCACAACATGAGGAACTGTATTAAAGGGTCGCAGCATTAGGAAGGTTGAGAACCACTGGGTTAAGGTCTAGCCCTTTGTGGTGAAAGATCCAGGAGAAGCGACAGCCAGCACCAGAGGAATCAGGAAAGTAAAACCTTTATTACACAGCACTGCTAAACCAGGGGACTTTGATCCAAAGCCTGAACTGCCAATGTGGGGAGGTTTTGATCTATATATCTTTTAGTGGCGTTTTGTAGCTCCGCCCAAGTCAGTTAGAATGGGGCTTGTAAGATTACTGTTTAACTAGATACTGAACTAGGCTGTAGGCCCCCAAAGTTGCCCCCCTATCTTCCTTCTCAGGTTGGCTTGGTTGTTTTACTCTCCCTAAGTGACTTAAATGTGGTCCAAGCTTGAGAACCACAGCCATAACTGAAACCCGGATTCCTCCCTGGCCAACACTCTTCCTTTGCCTCTTTCTGGAGATCACTGTCTTCCACTCCTGAATACCACCAGACCAGAAAGGGCAATGGCGCTGAAGCTCTTCCAGACCAAATTATATATATTTTCCTGGAGGCACGTCATTGACATACCCATGTCTCCTCTACCCCCACCCCACCCTAATCTGCCTGAATAACTTCAATATTCATCAAAATTCAACTACAACATTACCTCCTTCGTAAAAATCTAAGACAACTCTCCATGCTTTGGGGGGCGGGGGGGGGGGGAGGAGAAAATCATAAGTTTGCCCATATATAGAAAGTACTTTATATATATCTCTGGCCATCTACTAAAGATAGTATTATTTATCTCCAACTTCTATATGATTGGTGACCCAGATCTTGCCTGACAATCCCATTCTGTTCACAGTGATTGAGGTAAGCAAAATAATGCCCTCAAAGGTCTCCATATCCCAAACTCGTGTAGCCGTGACTGTTACCTTACATGGCAAAACGGGATTTGCAGGTGTGATTAAGGTAAGGATCTTGAGATGTGGAGGTTATCCTGGATCATCTAGGCCAGCGTTTCTCAACCTGTGGGTCGCGACCCCTTTGGTGGTTGAACGACCCTTTCACAGGGGTCGCCTAAGACCATCCTGCATGTCAGATATTTACATTATGATTCGTAACAGTAGCAACATTACAGTTATGAAGTAGCAACGAAAATAATTTTATGGTTGGGTCACAACATGAGGGACTGTATTTAAAGGGCCAGAATGTTGAGAACCACTGATCTAGGTGGACTCAATGTAATCACAGGGGTCCTTATAAGTGAAAGAGGCAGGCAGGAGACTCAGTGTCTGAGTGATGCAACACAAGCAAGACCTAGCCATCTGTTACTGATGGAGGGAAAGCCAAGGAATGCAGGCAATCCCTATAAGTTGGAAAAGGTAAGATTCTCCCCTAAAGGTTCCAGAAGGAATACAGCCCTGCTGCCCCCTTGATTTTAGCCCAGTGAAACCCATTCAGACTTAGAAGTCCACCAGGACTGTAAGATAATAAATTTGTACTGTTTTAAGTCACTTGTGGTGATTTGTTAAAGCAGCAACAGGAAACTAATACAGTGGCTGTGAAAATGTTTCCAGAGTACACTCCTATCTGTCAATACATGCTCTCAGCATTGAGTTAATGTCAGCTCTGCTGCAGTTATTGTAGAATAATCCCCGAGAGACTTGATGATGACCTTGAGTCATAACAAGACTCTTGATCCTCAGTGAAAGAATAAGCAGTTAGAACCCTAGTACTATCCATACTTGATTATGAAAGACATATAACACATGCCCCAAATAGACATAGTGTTGTCAAGCACAAAACAAAAGCCTGGAATGATGCATGGCTCTTAACTTTGGACTCCAGCTACACTTGAGCAGCTTGGAGATCCTATGCTTCTGGTCCACTCATCATCAGTCCTTTCACTCTCTGGTGTCTCCTGTTAAAGGACACCAGGCTTCGTTCTAAGGCTAGGACGTTGCAGGTGAGAACAGAGGGAAAAGGGAGAGAGGATAGAGGGCTTCCCAGTGTCCATTCTCAGGGTATGGTTGATGCAAAATCATTAGATTTGCTGCATTGCTCAGATTGATCATCTAACAGGAATCGTCTGATGCTCATTATGTTAAAAAGTGTCTGTCCTTTGTTCCCAACTGTCTGGAGGAGGAGAAATAGAGAAGAAAAAGAAAAACCAATATATCAGTGGTGAACTCATATGCCGGGGTCCAACCCCAGCAGGTCCAGGGGTTCCCAAAGGCATAGTCCGAGTCGGCGAAGAAGGAAGGACACGGAGACAGTGTTCAGTTGATCAGCAGCCTAGCCAGGATCTCCAGCCAGGATCTCCAGCCAGGATCTGGTCTGGATCTCCAGAGAGGTTCTGCTGTTTATTGTTTTGTTACATCCGTATTTATACCAGTTGATTTTAATCCTGTCAATTTCTAATACAAAGGTTAGGGTGTTTCTTATCTCCATTCCAGGGAGTAAAGATTATGTAGCTTAAGCATGATTGTTTGTAGTTAAAGTGATTAACTACCCGCCTGGCACTTAGTTAAGGAGTTTCATCCCCTCCCTAACTTCAGGGAAAAATCCCTACCTGGGGAAACAACCTTTCTTGGAGAGGTGACCTTGGTTAAAACACACAGCGCTAAGGGGAGCAAACATATTAAGAACAGTATGCTATATACGCCAGGTCCCTTGAAACATATGCTGTGCAGATGTTTCTTTCCTGCAGCGACTATGTCAAGCAGCAAGGATGGACCGGCTTCCGGCACTCATACATATTTTAGAACGACTTATTAAATTTTAAGAGGGAATTCCAGTTAACCCTAAAGTAGCCAGACATTTTACAGAATCAGTATTCTGCATTTTCTGAACTTTCTGGTCAATCAGTACTTTAGCATCCAGCTAGCTTATCATTTTGGCTTTAAAGCCATTTTGTTTTCACTACTGCAAAATATTGCACCCTGCCTTCTCCCCACCCAAGCACGCAACCAACTGAGTCATCATGAGCAGAAAGATGGGTATCAAAATCTCAGCTTTATTACTGCAAACTGTTTAGAGAATAGCCCTTCGGTGTGGAGCCACAACAAGCTTCCTAATGCAGCAACTCTGTACTAAGCAGAATGACCTACTCACTGTCATCCAGCAAAAGCGATCCAGCCCTGGGAGAGCTGCCCATAGTCAGATCCCAATAAAATTCCCCAATACCTGAGATAGGCATGCCTGCCATCTCCCCACCTCACCTATCCCAGGGAGGACTGACACCTGAAAGCCTCTTTTAAATGATAGTAAATGAAGCTATGCTATTACTAAGCTAAATAATTATGGCTGGAGAAAGCTGAAGGCAAACTTAGCAAGAGCTAACTAAAGATCCGTCACTCCAACGCATGCATGGAAGCAGTAGCCTCCGTCTCAGTGTGATGGCGCCCTGTCCAAGGTGTGTTCCTGGCAATAAAGTGTACACATTTACTAATGATACCTGTTGTCTTTAGAAAATTAGAGCTGGTTCAACGTTTTCACTATACCAGCATTATTCTTCAGATTTACTTCCCTGAGTGGGAGATAAAGGGAGGGAATTACATACAGGATTTGAGAAATTACACATAGCCCCATCCAGCAGCTCATAGTGAAGGATCTTCTGTGGTAGCATTAATAGTTGTGGCAATTGTGAATTATTGAAACGCTTGTGAATTGTGAGTTTTACAGTTGCTTCTATTTCTTTTTTATTTTCCTCAGGGATAAATTTGATTGAGAAGGCAAACGAAGATTTTTTAAATATCAGCATGACACATGAGCAAGAATTACTACACACTTTTAGTTAATCATGATGTCAAGGAAAAAACAGAGCATGTAATGAAATTTGTGAATTTTTCAAGAATGATATTAATAGCATTATAAAAAGTTAATGAACATAGTCCATGTATCATAATTTAAACAGCAACATAGGGGAGTTTTTGTTTTATTCTGCATTTATATATAGTTGTTCCTAAGGAGTTGGGATCCAGAAAAAAAATTGGAATTCATTTTTTAAATAACAGTCACAATTTTAAAAAGCAGTTTAGCTATACATATTTACTCTTATTATAAAGTAATCATTTTGAGATTTATTTAATTTGCTTATAAAATGAATTTAGGAATACTTTTATAAATAGGGATTCCCCCAGGCTAATGGCACTTTTTCTTGTATTTTCCCACCACCAACCTCCCAGTTTGATGGGGTTTGTTCAATTCTGAAAATATTGTATATTGTGCTTGCAAATTGCTAAGAAATAAAATAGGAAACACGAGTACTCTTTTCTACCACGACGTCTTCTTAGGAAAGCTTCAGAGGGGCCAAGAACAAGATTTCCCCTGACCAACAAATCAGTGCCCTTGCTAGGTGATTGTGACATAGGAAGAGTAACCTCCAATCAAAGAGAAGCCCCCAGTCTGATTGTGAGGTGGCAGTATAAATGTGAGCGCTCCCCTCACTCTGGACCCTTCTCCTCTCCACTCATAACTGTTAAGGAGAACAACATCTACAATGGCCAGATCCACCAGAAAGGCTAAGTGCTCCCGAGGACATCGAAACCCAAGCTCCCGAAAGAAAGCACATTCCTGCACTGATTTTAACCGAAATTACTCACTCTACATCCGGAGGGTCCTGAAGGAAGTGGATCCCCAGAGAAGCATATCATCTGGCACCGTGGACATCATGAACTCCGTGATCAACGACATCTTTGAGCGCATTTCTACGCAAGCCAACAACTTGATGTGTTTCAGAAATCGTTGTACCCTCACCCATGAAGATATCCAGAAGGCAATGTATATGCTGTTTCCTGGGAAACGAGCTAAGTATGCAGTGACTTTTGGAAGTGAAGCTGTCCAAAGATATGTCCACTCCAAAAACAATTTACCAGCTTAATTAAATCTTGGGGAAAGTAAATCAAACTTACCCAAAGGATCACTTCAATATTGAATTCACTCTTTCTTTCTTTCTTTTTTTTTTTTTTTTTTTTTAGAACATAGTTGTATTTCATAGTTCCTGGCATTTTCCCTATTTCTCTTCTCTCTAGAAAACAATTACTCTCTTGCTGCTTTACCTTTTAACAATTTGACTAGTTAAGTTTTCCTGACACTGCTCCCCACGGAACTCTTGTTTTTCCTATGAATGTGTAGATCTTGTGTAAATTCAATGCTTGTTCTATTGTTAAGGTATTGTTAACTATGTAAAGGATGATTCAGTCCAGCTAATTTGACCCCCAAGGCACACTGACTTTGAATTTATGAAGATAAATGTTTTAATCAGAAGTATACCAGTATTGGTAAATTTTCATCAAACTGCATTCAAACAATTTAGCTCCTTAATGAAGTCTATAGAGCACGTTAACTATTCCCCTTTTGTTTTAATTCTTATTTTCTGAATTTCAACAAGCTCAGTTCATATCCATGTAAATTTCTCTCCCATTCCTTTGTTTTTCATTATACTTTTGCTACCTACATATATGTCTCTACATTATAGGTTTAATTTTGCTTATTTTGTAACACTGAAGCCATACTACGCATGTTATTCTGCGCCTGCCTTTTCATCAACATTATTTCTAAGATTATATAGCTCTAGTTCATACTTTTCACTCTGATATTATGTAGTATTTTGTAATGTGAACATACCACAGCTTATTTATCCATCCTCTGTTGGTGGAGTTTGGGTTGTTTTCAATCTTTTTGCTATTATGAACAATGCTGCTATAATAATGAGTTGTAACAAAAGCTAAGCATTTGCTATGTACCCAGCATTTTACATAAATTAATTTATTTAATCCCTGTAACAACCTTATAAGAATAACATAAGTATCCCCTCCTACAGATGAAAATGGGCAAAGAGAAATAAGTGATTCATCTGAGGTCACACTCCTGTGTAAGCAGCAGAGCTGGGGTTTGAGCTGGTTAACACAGCCCACTGCAGACACACATTACATGCTGTGAACATTCTTAGACATGTATTTTCTGGTACAAATGTACAAAAAAATTCTCTAGGTAAAAGAGCTAATGGTAGGCTTGCTGGATCATTGATATGCCCATATTCAATTTTACAAGACATTACCAGACTGTCTTCCAAAGTGTTTGTAGCTATTTACATTTGTAGTAGATGAGTAATTTAGACTCTTCTGTTTATAAGGAACATATCACTTAAGTTTCCTCAAGAAAGGGGGGTTTCCCTGGGCAGTGTTGCTCAGCAGTTGTGCGTCAGTCCATGAACCAGGAGGTGACGGTTCAATTCTCAGTCAGGGCACGGGCCCAGGTTACAGCTTGATCCCCAGTAGGAAGCTTGCAGGAGGCAGCCAATCAACGTTTCCCTCTCATGGATGTTTCTATCTCTCTATTCTTCTCCATCTCTCTAAAATCAATAAAAGTATTTTTTAAAAAAGGGTGTTTCTTGTATGTATATACTAGGATTGGATCTGAGACTATTCTAGATGTCTCTCACTTAGGGCCTACCCTCTAGTTTTCCTGGGGTTGCTCCCTTCTAAATCCCTCCTTCTCAGAATTCCAAGAAATAGACCTGACAAACAGACCTATTGGAATCCAGTTACATGAAATACCACAATAAAACACGGTTAAGAAGGTTTTTAGGTGGGTGTTTTTATACACATGCATTTATTTAATCAGACTTGAAGCCATCCAATTTCAGTTAGGCCCAGGGATCAGCACATTAGAACCCCTAGGCCAAATCTAGAAGCAGCCCTTTTGTTCTGTAGCCCCACAAGCTAAGAAGTGTTGTTTACAATCTCACAGGGATATTTTAAAAGAAAACGAACACAAGGACATTCAACAAGCCTAATGTGGCCCACAAAGTCTAACATGTTTACTATCTGGCTTTTTACAGGAAAGTTTCCAAACTCTGGAACATTAACAAAAAACGTTTTATTATAAATTGAGGTATTGAAGTTGGGTGAAGGGAACTCCAGAGGGCTCTTCATATGTTAGTCTCTTTTATGTATGTTTTGAAATATTTTAATAGAATTTCAAAATAAGACTAGATTCTTGGAAATAAAAACTCAAGTCTGGAGAAACTAAGATGGCGGCATAGATAAACACCGGGAAATTGCTGCCTCCCACAACAATTAAAAGGTACAGCAAAAACACAAAACGGACATCGTCCAGAACTACAGGAAGGCTGGCTGAGTGTAAATTCTACAACTAGAAGGAAAGAAAAGCACACTGAGAGCCAGAGGAGCTGCAGAAGTAAAGTGCAGAGGTACGGCGGCTCGCGTGCACGGAAAGGGGCTGGCACCTGAGGATGCAGCTGTCTTTTTGAATCCGGAGGGAGTCACAAGCTCCCAACGGCACTGAACTCTGGTTCCAGGAAGTCTCTGGGGACCCAGGACTCATACGGGGAGAAACTGGACTGTCTGGCAGTGGGCGAACTTGAGGGAGGCTTTCCCTCAGAGGTGCTTGCAGCTGTTACCGGGACACTGAGACGCGTGACTCCTCAGGGCAGGGCTGAGGCTCCGCCATAGCTGCTTGCTCCGCCCTGTTGACTCCCTGAGACCCCGCCCCACCCAGGCTGAGGCAGAGGCTTTTGCATATGAATGCCTCAGCCCTTTGCAACCTGATAATTACCTAACTGCAGCCGGGCCAGACAGACCCAGAACTTCCAAGAGAAGGCCCAAGGCCCCACAGTGGCTTGCATTGCTTCACAGCTGAGCCTCATCAGAGCGGCTTCTGCTGTGTAACCTCAGGCAGAGGCTAAATTAGCACCTCCTTAGATCCAAGAGTCACTGTACCCAGTGGTCAGAGGGGGACCATCCAGATCACAACTCCTCAGATCCATAAGGGACACACTCAGGGTGCAGACTCAGTGAGCACCAAAGCCCCACTGAAGCAAGTCTTGCCCCAGAAGAGTGTCTCCAGCACAGAAGTTCTCCCACTGCAGACACAGCTGATTCTCACTGCCAATTGGCCTGGAGGTCAATTCCTCCCAGTGATCCTACAACAACCAAGGCATAACTACAACAAGACTGTGCACAAAGCCCACAAGGGGGTGCACCAAGAGTGTCCACCTCAGCTAACTGGGGAGGCTGAGCCACTGGGCCCTACAGGACACCTAGCACACAAAGCCACTCTATCAACACAGGGAAGCAGCCAAAATGCGGAGACAAAGAAACAGGTCACAAATGGCAGAAATGGAGGAAAGCAAACAACTGGATATAGAGTTCAAGGCCACGTTTATAAGGTTTTTCAAGAATTTTATAGAAACCGCCGATAAATATAGTGAGTCCCTCAATAAGTATAGTGAGACCATGGAGGACATGAAAAAGGACCAACTAGAAATTAAGCATACACTGACTGAAATAAAGAATAATTTACAGAGATCCAACAGCAAACAAGAGGATCCCAAGAATCAAGTCAAAGATTTGAAATACAAAGAAACCAAAAATACCCAACCAAAAAAGAAAAAGGAAAAGAGATTCCAAAAATATGAAGATAGTGTAAGGAGCCTCTGGGACAACTTCAAGCGTACCAACATCAGAATTATAGGGGTACCAGAAGAAGAGAGAGGACAAGATATTGAAAACCTATTTGAAGAAATAATGACAGAAAACTTCCCCTACCTGGTGAAAGAAATAGACTTACAAGTCCAGGAAGCGCAGAGAACCCCAAACAAAAGGAATCCAAAGAGGACCACACCAAGACACATCATAATTAAAATGTCAAGAGCAAAAGACAAAGAGAGAATCTTAAAAGCAGCAAGAGAAAGACAGTCAGTTACCTACAAGGGAGTACCCATACGACTGTCAGCTGATTTCTCAACAGAAACCATGCAAGCCAGAAGAGAGTGGCAAGAAATATTCAAAGTGATGAATAGCAAGAACCTGCAACCAAGATTACTTTATCCAGCAAAGCTATCATTCAGAATAGAAGGTCAGATAAAGAGCTTCACGGATAAGAAAAAGCTAAAGGAGTTCATCACCACCAAACCAGCATTATATGAAATGCTGAAAGGTATTCTTTAAGAAGAGGAAGAAGAAAAAGGAACTCTTACCATTTGCCACAGCATGGATGGAACTGGAGAGCGGATAAATACCACATGATCTCACTCATTTGTGGAATATAATGAACAACATAAACTGATGAACAAGGACTGATCCAGAGATGGAGAGGCATTGATTGGACTGTCGGGCCTTGGAGGGAAGGTAGGGGAGGGTGGGGGTACGGGGGAAAGATCAACCAAAGGACTTACAGGCAAGCATATAGGCCTAACCAATGGACATGGACAACGGGGGTGTGAGGGCATGAGCGGGGGGGAGGGGGTGGGGGGGGTGGAGGGGGGGTAGAGGGTAACGTGGGGACAAGGACACATATGTAATATCTTAATCAATAAAAAATATATTTAAAAAAAACTCAAGTCTGATTATATAAATGCATGTGGGTAAAAATACCCACATCTATGATAATTTCGGCATATTAGTGTAGAAAATATATATATAACATAAAACTTACCATTTTAACCATTTTAAGTATACAGTTCAATCACATGAAGTACATTCACAATGTTATGCAACCATCACCACCATCGATCTCTAGAACTTTTTCATCTTCTCAAACTAAAACTCCATAAACAAGAACTAGACATTTCCCCCCTCTCTGCATATTAAGGATAATAGAGCAGAAAAATGAAACAGCTTTGGTTTCTGATGATTGAACTTCAATCCAGCCCAAGACTACCTATGCTTGCATAAGAGAGTAATATATTTCTAACTTGTTTAAGCCAGTTATTGTTATTTTAGGTTTCTATCATTCATAGTCAAATCTAATTCTAATGTAGACATACAGAAGATTATTGACTGCTAAGAAATGCAGTTAGTCTGAAAATGACTGTATGCTTATTAAATAAAGATATATTAATCTAGAAATGGAGGA